TGAGTTGCTAATGGTTGATAGTTTTTCTGATTTTGATGTAGATAGGTACCAAAAAGAAGCAAGAAAATAAAAGTAACACTTTATGTTGGACATAGGGTGAGTAAGGACATAGGGTGAAAAGACGACCATGCATGGACAGATGCTTTGGCCTCATGCATAGGCTGTGACAGCAATACTTTGGGACTAATCTGGGATGTCATCTGGCTGTTCTGGTTAAGCCTTATGCCTCCACTAGTCCTGGTCTCAAACTGACCCGGAGTGGGGGAACAATATTCTCCTCTCATATTCCTGCAATATGAAGTAGTTGGTCTTATGATTAGGTAGAAGATGAGAAAAAGTGACAAGAGAGGGGCAACAAAGGTGTAGAGGAATGCACAGTGGAAAAGATACAGAATACAGTGTGATCAGGCTGGAACACTGTCTTGTCTAAATTTGACACTGTGCATCCTCATCAGTGTTCTGGGTTCATCTTGCTGGTGTTAGAGGGATGCTTGAAACGATTCTCTCAGGATAACATTCAGGCATCTCACTGGCAGATTCCTTAGACTTCTGTCTATCCTGTCCATCCTAGAGATCTGCCTTACAGAAAACCCCCATACACCAGAATAGCCTGCCTATTCATTGTTTAGTATCTGATGAGGACTCATTCCTCTTGTATACCAACCACTGTATTAGCAAATCTTTTGGTTTGAGCAGATGCTGTCTTTCTGCCTTCTTTTTGTATTTCTGCTACCTACATTCATAGGCACAGAGTACTGCAACATCTTAACTCCACTTTCCAAATGCTGCACTCACTGTTAGGTAGAGTCTTCTTTAACTAGTAATTAGAACTACACCCAAGGGGATGAAAAGCAACTTGGAAATGATTTAGTTCGGGTGGTAATTCTGAAATCTATCTGTCTGGAAAAGGAAATGGTCAGCCAATATTTATCACAAATTTAGAATGGCACTAGCATCTTGTGCAAGCAGCAAAACTCCCTCAAATCCTCAGAACTTCAGTAGAAGCTAAACCAGGCCTTTATAAAGTTGCCAAATAATTATCAGATCTGTATTTTTCTATAACTTCCATGTAATTTTTCTTGCCTTTCAGTCCAGTTCCTTATTCCTTATATCCTGTCCATGGGTTAGAGCTCAGTTCCCTTATTGGTTATCAGCTTGTCTTTCACTGTCACAGAATTCATGAGTATAAACAATTCTTAAAGGGACAGCTTTATAATATTTATTGCATTGCTTTCCAGCAGACTCATCAAGACCTGATTCTGATAAAAGACAGTGTTTTTAAAAGGCCTGTTTAGACCATATCACTTGGGAATAGAAAGGAAAAAGTTACAGATCAGAAATGAAAAGATGGGTTTTTTCCTTTATAAATCAGATCTGCACATATTTTGAAGAACTGCATAATTCCTCGTACAGTCAACAGTTACATATATTTCATTTGCATAATCAAGGATTGTATGCATACATGTCTGCTCTTTCTTTCATTGATCCAGTATTGTTTGAAGAAAGGGCAACCACAAGGGAAAGTTGAAATGAAGTGATTTTTTTGGCCTCACCAAGACTGGAAAGTAAATCATGAGAGCATATCTATGCTAAAACAAACAAACAAACAAACAAACCAATTTTTTTTAATCAGGCTGCTAGTTGTAGCTGGAATATTCACAGTAAATTCAGGAGGAATATGGTTGGAACCTCTATATTTCTTGTGTTCTCATTACACTGTACTTATGTACAGAAATGTGGAGTTATATTGTAAATAATGGAGAATTGCACTCGTTTATACTGAGGTGTAATTAAGATCTAGTTGTGGAAGAATTCTGTACAAGTGTATCTTGGTATCGGTGAGTCTCTGCTGAAGACAGTGGAAGGCTGGGAAAGCACTGCATATACAAATATCCTTGATGATATGGCATGGGAGCTAAAATCTGGGTATTTTTCTAAATTTGAGCAAACACATTTGAATAATGCAACTATCTCATATCAAAGCAAATGTTAGTGTGCACTGCTGCTTCCAGTTCAAATCAGAAGCTGAAAAACCAAAATTTTGCACTGAGTTTCCCAATAGTTCACAAAGAGAAAGTTGAGAAAATAACCCAAATATTTCTTGCGTGACACTCCTCTGTCCCACAGACACTTTGCACTTTAGAGGGGAAGGGCAGAGTGAACAATCTCACTTCAGAATCTTTTCAAGTTCCCATTTAACGATTTACAACCTATTGTATGTGCTAATAGAATAGGTAACTGCTGTCGCTTCTGGGAAAGGAAACACAGAAATTGCGGCTATTACTCGATGAGCAGGACCACAAAGATTCTCTTTTTCCCAGTTCCCCAAATGTCTACCTGGCCAGTCAAGTTGTACATTAAAATCCACAATATGGCTTCTAGTATAATGTAGCTTACGAAAGCAGAAACTGCTAACATACGTTAAAAAAGAAAGAAAGAAAGAAAGAAAGAAAGAAAGAAAGAAAGAAAGAAAGAAAGAAAGAAAGAAAGAAAGAAAGAAAGAAAGAAAGAAAGAAAGAAAGAAAGAAAGAAAGAAAGAAAGAAAGAAAGAAAGAAAGAAAGAAAGAAAGAAAGAAAGAGAAAGAAAGAAAGAAAGAAAGAGGCAGAAAGATTTCACAGGATTTCTTACTCTCTTCTGATTCTTGGTGTTAGCTTTACCACTTACTACTCACTTGTAAGTAAATGAGAGAGGCTACATGGCTGATTGTAAACTCTTCTACATGCCCAAGAGCTTTATACTGTTGAAGAGCTTGTAAATCTGCATGAGCTTGTATATCTGCATGACTAGGGCAAGATTTGTACAAAGTACTGGGAAGAAATTTATTAAAAGAAATCCATTGATAATCCTAACATAGCAGCAGTGAACGGTTCAGTACATTTGAAAGCATGTGTGAATGTAACTGATCTTGCTATTGCAAAGATTTGGAAAACATCTCAGAAACTATGTGTCTTAACAAGAAATGTTTCTTCAAAGACACATTTTCAGCTTCCTAAAGGTCTACATGCTGAATGTATTTTGTCTAGAAGTTTCGCATTGCTGTAGTTTGACACAGTATTTTTTCTTAAATTTCAGATGGAAGAGGTAGCAATTTATTGCTCTAACTTTCAAGAGAAATGAGCCACTGAGTTTGTCAAGCAGCTGATCAGATTGTAATTAGTAAATTCTGAAGACTTCAGACACTGGGGTAAAGTTGTAGTATCTCTGATGGTTTAGATTTTGTTACAGAAGTTAAAAAAAAAAAAAAAAGTACACATTAGAAAATCAAAAGAGATCAGAGGCAAAAGGCTTTGTTATTCTCTCCGACATTGCAATTAGCTTAACTTTCTGTTTAAGTGGGTAAAATCAGTGCTTTGAAAGGTATTGCAGGAGAAATCGTGAATAATTAGTGATACATATACATATGTCTGCAGTGTAGTTGTGTGTGTGTGACTGCACATGCATCAACCAGCAGTAGATGGCTTAAACATGATAATCTCCATAGCAAATGTGTACTTCCTCCCTTCCCTATATGTGCAAAAGAGATAACAATATGGTGCTCTAAGTTTTGTATATGTTTATTTTGTTTAGGCTTCATTTATTGTAAGTAACTTTGTAGTATAATACAAACAGTTTGTAAAGACTGAATTTCCTGGTGATACTGAAAGACTGGGGAAGTTAACTTTAAATTGCAGAAGTCACAGGTAAAACTGTTTCAACAAAACAGGCAATTCATGTAGTGTGATACAATCAAAGGGAAGGCAAAAGGAGCAAAATCTCAATTTAGAAGCGTTTGTTAATGAAGTAAAAAAAATTACTGTACACCTGCTGAACTGTATCGAGTGAAGACACCGTTCTTCCACTTTTCTAAAATTTTTTCATATGCCTATTTATTGTGCTTTGTAGTGATACTCCTTTGTTTCCAAACAAATGACTCAGAGCCCTTCCTTGTTATAACATCCCTGCTTTGTACCATTAGTTTTATATTTTAACCTACACACACAAACAGATCCCACTCAAGTTGTGAATCAGATAGGCCAGTTTATCTGCCATAGCTGCACCCCTGTTGACACTGTTGGCTGGGAAAGGTCTCCCTCTTACAGAGGGCTCCTGGAACTCAGAGGTCATCGCAGCCCAGCACAGTGGGACCAGCTCACTCCTCTTTGCCCCCATCCTTCACTGCTCTGTGTTTTGAATAGTACTGAATTCAAATATATTGAGCTTTTGCTCTAAGCTGTATTAAAGTCTGGTCCTGAAAGGTATGAAATAGGGCTGACCAATTAAAACATTTTTGAATGAAGCTGGGTGTTATCCATTTGGAATTGTTCAACAACTTCTTTTTTTCCCCCCAAGAAGTAAATTACCTTTGACAATATCTGGGTGCATTAATGTAATTTTTTCTTGTTTTACTCCACACATTTTTGTTTTCTATCCGCACATGCACATTTTTTTCAGATACGAAATGGAGAAGACAAACAAGTGCAAAGAGAGGGCGGGGGGAGCAGCAAGGAAGAAAATTGCTGAGAAGGGAAAGAAAAACACCCAAACCAGAAGAATTTCTGCTTTCACAAAGGAACTTGCAGTTCTCCAAAGAGTTGGCAGGAATAATGCTAGTCTGGCACACAATCCAGGTTCTAGTAGAGCCTATGCTTCTCACTGCAGGACGCTCTTATTTTTAGGGATACATTAATTTTAAAGTAGAATGTATTTTTTTATATTTATTATGTGTTCAGTTCCCAATTCCAGAAATAAACAGAAATTATAGTATGCCCAAAAGGACCCTCATGACCACTCTCTAAAGGCAGTGCCTGCACTGAAAATTTTAGATTTTATAACCACAGCAAGGACATAACAAAATGCTCAGCTTCTCTAACCCTACAGGAAGATGTACTACAGTATCTCCACAGCCAATCAGCAGTACTACAAGCCTCAGACCAGGAAACTCTTCACAGTACAGTATGTGTGAACACTGCAACGGAGACTTTCTCATTGCTGCTTTTTCTTTTTCTCTGTATGCTTATAGGATGACAAGACAGATGTGAAGTCCCTCATGGAGAAATTTAACACGGGTCACAACCCCACAGAAGATGCTTCTAGTAACAGTCGAGCCTTCAAAATCCCAGGACAACCTAGCCATACAGGATTACAGACAAGGAAAGCAGCACTCGAGAAATTTGCAAGTCAAGGAAATGCAACTGCTCTCTCAGGACCCAGTACCTTTCACAAACCTGTTCATCTGAAGCCTCCTCTGGGGGTCAAGCCTTCAACTGATGATAAAACAGAGAAGGATCCAAAGCCCCCATATTTGAAACCAGTGGCACAAAGGTTTGGGGTTCAGCTTCAGGCAACTAACAGAGAAAATGATGGAAAAGCTGGATGCACTAAAGCCCCCACTAAAACCAGTGACTTGGCAAAAGAAGAGCCAAAGCCTCTGTATCCAAAACCTACAGGGAACAAGTTCCTTAACCTTGCTTCTCAGGAGAAAGAAAAAAGCCCTCTGGGAACAAAATCAAATTCAAATTTTGCACCACATGAGAGTGAGGCAAAGCCAGCATTTTCAAAAGTAGCTGGAGTTAAGGAAAAGTTCATGTCTGCAACACAAGAAAATGAGCCCAAGACTTTCTCTAAGCCACCCCTTGCACAGAAACCATCTCTAAACCATGAGGTCACCCACAACGAAGACACTTCTAATAAAAATGTGTTTCTGCAAAAAGGACCTAGACCAAATATACACTCATTTAAAGCAGCAAAGGAAATGGATGAAAATAGTAAGTGTGCTGTCGAAGCTGCAGGCAGTCATTTTTCTAACATGGCTCTGAAGCCTACTGGCCGCTGGTCCAGCTCATCTCAAGGCACCCCCGAAAATGTGGATGAAAAGACTGAAGAAAAGGGAATGAGTGCTGCCAAGAACATCTTTCTCAACAAAATCATCCAGGAAGAATCAAGTTCTTCTTCTCCTAAATTCAATAAGACAAACACAGTGCTTAATGCAGGAAGGCCATCAGGTGGATCACAAGAGAAAGAGGATGGGGACAGGAGCTCAGGAACCCCCAAGCGGAAGGCCTTGCCCCCACTGTTCAAGCTGGGCCAGCCCCCACAGAAACCCAGCAGACCCCCCAGCGTGGACCTGGAAAGGTTCCGGCAGAGCAATCCAAAAGACAGTGAGTTCTCTCTGATCTTGCTTTCTTGGGTATTGGGGTTTTTTATGCATTTAGTACCTGATTCATTTAAGATGGAATCCCCTCTTCTGTTCAGAAATAACTTGAGACTTGTGCATCAGACAACCCCTTAAAGTTTTAACCTATACTTGTGCCTCTTCTGTACAGGACAGAAAGTAAAATTATATTCTCTCTCCCTCAGCAATAAAGTGTAGGACGAATGCTTTCTGTATTGGGTTTATTTGTTTTTCAAAACTACTTAGATGTACCTATAACCTGTGTCAGGGAATTTTAATTATTTTTCTCAACAGAAATTTAAATCCTGACTTCCTATAAATGAGATGTTGATGTGTGTCCTGTTCTCAATAGTAACTTCCTGGGCACAGATTGAGGGCCACCAAAATGATATACTACAACCTGTCGTAACCACACTTTTTTTTTTTTTTTCTTTTTTGCCTTTCGCAATGACTAATCACAGCATGACCCTATAAATTTTTGTATTTTAAAGTTTGCTTAGAAAGTTAAAATTGTAGAATCAATTGTTCCCACATGGAGCTGCATCAATTTTATACCCAGATCTGAATCCAGCCTTCTAAAGCATTTCTTGGACTTAGTGTTTTCTGCTAGTTTTGCATGACTTCAGTAGTTTGGCAGTTAGTATCATCCGAAGCTCTGCCTCACTATTGTTGTGAAGAACCAAGCCTTTGAACTTTCTGCTGGTCATCATCTGTGCATGAATATTAAGGCTTGTCACCAGGTTTGTGTAAAATTTGAGATGGCCTTGTGTGTGATGAGAGATTCTGTAAACACATTTAAAATATCTGGGAGGACACAAATCCTTGTGAAAAACAGAAATTGCTCTGACTCCACTCACGCAGACAGTTCTGCTTCAACAGGTTCTTTTCACCACCTAAGACAAGTTGCAACAACAATATAAGCTGTTTCTGAGGCACTTAAAATATGCCCTTGAAGATCTCATGTAAAAATGAAGTTTCCTAAAGTTAGATTCGTATATCCACTGTTATCTTCTTGAAGGGAAGATAAGTTTTGAGGAGGTTCTGAATGTCCTTACTTCTCTCCTAAATCACCTGTATTTCAAACTTTTGGGTTAAGGTGTTCCTCCAAAGCTTTTAGGCACTCTTTGACAATTCTAAAAACTTAAAGTCAACAACTCCAGTTGGAATGGGTGATGCAATACAAATTTTATAGTAGCTGAAGGAGGCTTTGTCTTTTTTCTTATAGTACCAGGTACTAGGATCTATGATTGCATAGGAAATTAAAATCAAAGTTTTAAGTTGTATGGGTCCAAAGGAAAGCTGTTCTTGGTCTTGGTGCATGAAAGAAACAAGCGCAAAAATAAAAATCAATTATTGTGTTAAATGTTTATGTTTGGGGTTGTGTTTTTTGCTGCTTTTTTTTTTTTCCTTTAGTGCACTGTTGTGTGCACTGAGCCAAGGAAGCAAGTAATATATTTAATCCTCATATATATTTTCATAACTCAAGTAATTCTAACCAGTTATGTCCTGCAACTAATTGTGTCAGGTGATATACACAACTAAGTAATTTTTGATGAGGGGCATTTCACCCATGTTAATCTGCCTTAACCATCTCTCTTAGATTTAATTAAACAGATCAAACTTTGACTCTTATAGTTTCAGTGTAGTCAGTGGGAACGGGAGATGCCCAATGTATCTGATGACAGATGCTCTGAATAACTCCACACTGAGCATGTGCAGCACATCAGGTACATTCATATAATTTAATTGATACAGAATTTGTCCTTGTGCCTTCCATATTTAGAATACAGTATGGCTTGTGCTTCAGCAGTTTTGAATGCACATAAGACTGGCCTTCCTGAGATAGAAGACATTCAAAAGGGTTATTACCAGATGAAAAAGCTGAGACCTGGATTCTTCTAAAGACAAAAAACACACTAAAAACACAGCATGCATGCAACTATATATTCTGTTATTATTAATTCCACTCAAAAATTACAAGCTTATCAGTAACATAAAATGTACTTTCTTGTCAGCTACTACATTCTGATTTTCCTGCATCACCCTACAGTTACAGAAATATTCTCACAAATCCATGATCAGGGCCAAATCTTCAAATGATGTAAATTTGTGTATCTCTTTAAAAAAAAAATATGCCAATATACAACAATCTGAGCAGCTGCCCCTTCTCCATAGAGCACTGTTCAACATGACTGGCTTTACTTGAGTCCCCAGAACAGTCTCAAAATGGAAAAGTGGCATCTTCAGCAAATTACACCAGCATATGTTTTGATTAAATAAAACCAGTAAGAAGTCCAGAGAAAGGCTAGAAATAACCAAAATCACAATTAATATTTTTAAAAATATTTATTTTTAGTTTATTTTTAAGTAACTAGTGGAGGAATTATTTATTTGTTTGTTGTTTATTCAATTATTACTTTTTTTTTTCCTGGTTTCTGTACAGTTATAGACACAAAGCATTTTTACATCCTCTTAAAACTGAGGATTAGAAATATTTATCCTATGCATTCAAAATGAATGCTGTGAACAGGGCTGTAAGGATAATACCAGAACTTTTGTCAGAAAGAGGATCTCTGGTTAGTTGTCACTAACCAGAACTACTGCAGCCACTGGCCTAGATGAGTTCCACTGGAAACAGGAGCTAAGGATGGAGCTGCCCAGTGTGGTGGCACAGGCTGTTCTCTCAGACATGTTGCAAAGTACACACCCAACTAAATAGGACTGAAGGGACAGACAAAGTCTTATCTACTTCACAGTCTTTGGGTCAGGGCAAGACTGAAAGTTTTAGAAACCACATCAATAAAAAGCTGTACCTAGTGGCTCTGAAATTGAGCTTTTCTCTGTAGAGCTGGCATGTAGACCTTGATGTTCTATTAACTTTAATTAATGCAGCTCATTTCTTTGTGACCATAACTCTCCATAGAACAGTTCTGGTGGAGAGACTAGGTGTTCTAGCATGAATCCTGAACAAATGCATTTTCAGATCAACAAAGTTATTCATCGCTGCTGGGTTTCTTGGAACGTTAAACTGAAAATTTTTTTTTTTTTTTTTTTTTTTTTTTTTTTAAACTGTCATTTCAAGAATCAAAGTCATGCCAGGAAGATGCCACCCCCACAACACAAATTCTTCCTGTTCATTACTTGGTCCTGATAAACAGCAGTTTGCCATAGTTGCTTAATTTGCTGCTGTGATTCAGATGCTGAGTAAAAAGAAGAACAAGCAAATGGAAATGGTTTTCCCATCCAACAAAACTTTCTGAGATCTAATCTTAGGGGGTTTTGATTTGTACTAGGGCAAAAGTTAGGCTTTGTAAGAAGAGAAGAGAAAAGTTCCACACATGGCGGTTGTTATATTTGTGTTAGGAACACGTCTGGGGTGCAGAAAACCTTGTATTACCCAATTTAAACCAGGAGTCTGAACTGACCTTTCTCAGAAGTATCAATTCACCCCTGTTTTTTTGTTTATTCTTCTTTTCCATGAAAGCTGCTTTACTATTTTTTCATAATCAAGTATTCAGTGGGCATGAAACAACTTTAGACGTCAGATGCTGAAGGGCTTGCTTTAGATGCAGCAGTCTCAGTCATGTGTGGGAGAATAATTCCACCATGCCTGCATGAATACTGAAGGATGCTGGTTTGTTGCCGGCCTTGTTTTGGATTAGAAATTTTCACCCTGTTCTGAAAAACCTTTTTTGACAAAACTTCTGTAGATGCAAGTGCCTTGCAGAGGAAACTTTGACTATTGATGCATTACTATTTTCCAGTGAAGACAGGCTTTAAGAAATTCCTGTCTGGGCCTGTGAATACAGGAGACTCCAATAAATTTCTATTTTATATCCCATTACAGCAATTTTCCCTGAGAGTAGATCATATTTATGTCAGCTCAGAATCAGTGAGATGCATGTGCTTTCTAGATTCAGGAAATGATACTAACGATACTATTTCATAGTAAACACCTGAACTGCAAACAAGGCTTTGTGAGAAAAAAGAGAAGCAATATAATTTTGCTGACAGCTTTCTATGTGAGGCCACCACCATATCGTTGCTTTCAGAGGAGAACTGCACCTAGGCTGACCTCAGTGGGGTCATCTCTGTACAGATGGCCACCCACATAAAGTCAGTTGAAGGCTCAGAGTCCGTAGTGCTTTAAACACCTCTGAACACCTTGTGAACCGTGCAGCTTCAGCTAGAGACAATATTTTGAGCTGTACCGGGAGAAACAGAAGGAAACTCTACTGAATCTAAGAGAAAAGAACACATGTAAGAAAATTTGGGTTATGTTTGTGTCTGCAGTCCTTGTTGAGGTTCTGTTCTGTGGTGGATTGTGTTCCCACACAGTGACATGGGTATTTGAGTTGGGTAAGACAACCAGTTGAGAAAGGAGAAATTAAAATCTGTGGTGCATTGTCAAAGTTATCACAACACTCTGTTGGCAAATTACTTAACAATCAAGTACCACTCCCAAGGATAGTAAATGTCTTAACTGTCTTTGTAAAGCTCCTCAGAACCAGTGAGTTGTTGCTCTTACTTGATGGCAAGATGAAAGAGCAGCTTCCAAAGTTATAAAGAACAGGGGATTTTTTTTTTTTTTTTTTTTTTTTGTCACAGGATGTCAGGTCTGTTTACTGCAGAATCTGGACTTAAAAGGTCAATGTAGGCTTTCTTTTTTTTACCTCAGTGCTATATTGGATAAGTTATGAAACAGCTCAGTGTTAAGGTGAAAGGGGATAAAAAGAATTGTTACTTGAGTCAAATCATCTATTTCTAAGACAGATGAAACTAAAAGTAGGTGATAATATCAAACAACACTGTACAGGGTGAGGTGGGGGTAGCTGTGTAATGATGTGATGCCTCTGTTTGCACGGGTGAACTTTAGCACACCATAAAACCCTGTGCAGCTCAAGAAAGTTTTACAATTATAATTTCAGAATAGCATGATAATTATGTGCAACATAGTGCCTGCAGTTTGCTATATGTAGCTAAAAT